GGGGGGGGGGAAGGAGGTAATGGGACCTCTCATTTTGAAGGAACATGCAAGATTGAGAGATTGCGGAGCTCCAAGGTTTGTTGGCACTGCTATATGGGCAAGACATGCCCCAGCCATCTTGGATTCTTGGAGATGGGGGTTGGGTGCCGATGGTTTGTTCAGCGTAAAGTCCTTTTACCAAAGTATGTTGGTGAGAGAGGAGGCCCATTTTCCATACTCTTCGATCGGGATTCCTAGGGCGCCCATGAAAGTGTGCTTTTTGGCATGGCTAGCGGCGGGGGGAGTGATCTTGACTGCTGAAAAATATGCGAAAGAGAGGAATTACACTTGTTAGTTGGTGGTACATGTATAAAAGCTTGGGGGAAGAAGTTGATCACCTTTTGTTGCATTGCCCCGTGTCCTCGGGTTTGTGGAGGGCAATCCTGGATCTTTTTGGTGTAATGGGTGATGCCAAGCACTGTAAAGGAAATGTTACATAGCTGGGCCAGTTTCCGTAGAAGAAAAAAACAAACGGCGTGGAAGTTCGCCCCGCTAGCTCTCATGTGGATAGTTTGGGGGGAGACAAATAAGAGAGCTTTTGAGGGGATTGAGTCTCCTTTTTCACATCTTAAGAACAATCTTTTATCTTTGATCGCTTTTTGGTGCACTCATATAGCCCCTACTTGTATAGAAGATTGGGCGTCTTTTGTAGAGAATCATGTTTTGATGTAATTTCTCTACTTTTTGGTATACTTCTTGTATACGAGAGTTTTTTCTCGCTTTTGATCAATACAATTTACCTTATAAAAAAAAGTAGTTTGTAGAGCTGGGGATGTTCAGTTTTAATTTGTTTTGTACATTATTTTTTCCTGGCGATGAAAAGAAATTATTTATCAAAAATATTGTGGTTGTACTTTATGCTAGATTCCCATTGAATAAGTCTTTGTTTACATTTACTTTGCAGCAAAAAAAAACAAAATAAATAAATAAATGAAGGCATATAGTGTTGCATTTCTGGAAAAATCATCTTATATTACACAAACAAAATTACACAAAATAATATTCCACAAATAAAAAACCAATCGGCCTGTAATTATATTCTCCAATTCTAGAATACACAGACAAGGTTTAAGATATTCAACTTCATACTGGTGTTGGGTTTAATAAGAAGATTTAATTTTAAATGGGTGCTCTTTCAATAATATGGGTAAGAAATTAAAGAAGACTTGAACTAGAAAGAGAATAAATCATTTTAGAGGAAACAAGAGAGAAAAACTTTCAGAGGAAACCCATATGGAGAACTGAAGAAGAAAGGTGAAAAAATGAAGAAGAAAAGTTAAAAAATAAAGAAGAAAGGTGGAAAAAAAAGAAGAAAACCTAAAATATAAAGGAAATAAAGAAAAGATAATAATTTTGTTAAAGGGTAAGCTTAATTAGCCGTTACACACGGTCAGGTGGAGCCATTTTAACAGCTATTTTCACCCTTCACGCGCCTTTATGCGAGTTATTTTACACATTTTGCCAGATAAGCAACGTGGGAGTTATTAATAACTGGGGAAATATAATTCAAGGAGGTGGACAACGGATAGCTTAAGTAGGAAACTGACAAAAGTTGGATAGTTTAATNGCCCTCAAGTGCCGTAAATTAGCCCTGGGGACATTGGGTTTGTTGGCATTATAGGCAGCTTTGCTGCCGAAGCGGTCAATAATGATTTCCACCATTTCACTTGGTGATGGAAGTTCATCCAAGTTGCGGTGCCACTTCCTTCGAACAAGGCGTGCCTTCTCTGATTCAATCAGGGGGCTAATCTGTTCGGCCAAGAGATCTTTTTGTTCTTTAATCTTTGCCAATTCAAGTTGATCCAAGGCTCTTTCGATCTCGGACCGATCCCCTGGCTCTTCTTCAGCCGCGGATATGTTGAGATCAAAGGAAGGTTTTTTCGATAAGCTAGGACCACTTCCATCGCCTCCGACGGAAAGAGGAATTCTATCCATTAAAGAAAGCCAAAAATCCAGGAAGTCGCTAAGAAATGAAGGGGGTTTTAACGTATTAACTCTTTGTATATTGATCTAGCCTAGGAAGTAAAAATAATCCGAAAGAAGAAAAAAGAGCAAGTAGTAAAAATGAAACACAGAAATTTTATGCTTGTTAGCATTCACTATAAGTGCACTGTCCTGGTAGTTATACAGAAAAGAAAACCTTAGAATGCAGAATAGGAAATTATAAGAAGATTTATTTAATACAGAAAAAACAAGGATCATTGAAAAGAATTTAGTACATCAATTAACAAGGAAAGAATAGTGCACTAGGGGTATTCAGAAGGCCAAGGAAAACCTGGCTGTTTTCTTTCAGCAGGACTGCATATGCTAGTATGGCTTCTTTGTACTGCAAGAGGGAAGAATGAAAGAATCAGGTGTCTAGATACGTCCTCAGCAAACCAATTTCCTTCGCTTGTATAGACAACAACAATATAATGTTAGAGGCTTCTGCTACCTGCTGTTGTTCGGAAGCATCCAGGAGAAAGTAAACAGAACCAAAGCCACTTGCCATTGTTTTCTCATTAAGTGTCCTGTTGACCAGAAGCTAAATATAGCTAAAAGAAATGAGTAGGCATAAAAAAATTCGTACTTCATAAAAAGGAATGGAGAATGGAAGTGCTGAACTCACTTGATATCTATCCCATGTTTGCTTGTAACCCAAGACCACACGGCTCACATATATCACAAGAGCACTGACTGCAATCACATCTAAAAGTATTGCGGATCTGTAATCAGATAATCGAGTTACTTAGTACAATTGCAGCATACAGAGTAATCAGAATAGTTGTGTTTAGAGTGATTTTGATATGAAACTAAAAAAATTACACTAGAGAAGCCACGATTAGCTAGTGGAGGATGATGCAAGTTTGGTTAGAACCACAAGTTTGAGAATCTTAAAGTGTCAAAATTATGTGCACGGTGACCTATAATTCTAATTCCAACCCAAAACCAGACTGAGGTACCAACAGTATACAATAGTCACTACAAGACAAGCTTCAAATAAGATTGTTAGAATATGATTTAACTAATGTACAAAGATAAGTAAAACTCAGAAAAACAAATTTGCCAAGAAATCAGTTATTTTAAGAACCCATAAAAAGGAAAAGAGGAGTTGGATGAACGCTAGTGCCTAGAATGTACTCTCTCTCTCTCTCTTTAAAAGATTTTTGAGTCGGTTAGGGTTAGGATTAAAGGAAAGACGATGTCCCAACTAGACATTGTGCATAATTTCGACAACTGCATCATGGATCAAAAACTGTGTCGAAATCATGAAAAAGTTGAGAAATCATACAGTGAAAATATGTTTTCAAATTTGTAGTTTATGAAGTATGCCAGTAGTCCAAGTACTGAGGCAATGTCAAGGCGTACCTACAAACAAAAGTGAAGTACTTCCAGGATAAGCAGCTATAACAAAGCAGCATCCCTTTGTTCAATACACTAGAAACCCTCCAAAAATAATTGCAACAATTAGTATTAAGAGCGAGCATTCCCAATACACTGGCTAAAGGAAAATAGCAGTATCTTCAAATAAAAATAAGGTCGATATGGAAAAGGTTATGACAATTAATCATTCGTTTCACATGTCGTTAGTGCTTTGATCAATGATACAGATAATATTGTCATCTTTTGAAGTTTTCTTCTAAAATCTGATCGCTCTAAAATTCCCAAAGTTGAAGACATAATTAAGCAAATAAAAGTATACAACAACAACTTTTAGATGAGACGGACATAATATTTTTGATAATTGTGGTGTCCAGGCCAGCTTGCGTGTGCCTCGATTAGTTCCACGGGATACCTGCTACCTCCCACTAACATAGGTACCGGGTAATCCTGTCCCCAAAGGCTAGGACAAATGGGAAGAAAACACCTAGTGTTTTTGCTGCCGCTGGGATTTGATGGTACTGATATATTGTCTTTTTCGTCTCCTTGAGCTGAGGGTCTATCGGAAACAGCCTCTCTAACCCCCTTGGGGTAGGGGTAAGGTCTGCATACACTCTACCCTCCCCAGAACCCACTTGTGAGATTTTACTGGGTTGTTGTTGTTGTTGTTGTTGGGATGTGAACCTGAGACATTATGATTGTCAACCGATGGACACGCAATTTAACAAAGTTATTAGAGCAAGCAGAGGTCCTGATTTCAAATCTCACCACCACCCTCCATCAAATAGTAGTTTCACGTGCTTGGCCCATATAAAAAATCAAACCCGCATGTGAGAATGCGTGTACAAGACATAATTAAATAGAATATGCAAGCTTTTAGATAAGGTGATCATATAATTCAACAACTTTCACTAAGGTTTTTGTGCTTGAGAAGCGAAGGGTCCTATCCTTAGGCTGAAATTTAGATCATGAAGGATCTGACCTCTAGATCTGCACCAGTATCGGACACCCGCACCCGAGTCCGAGCAACTTAGATTACTGCTACTAGTACAGAGCCCCACAATACCGGAAGATCATCATGGGTTAACGACACCGATGCCGACTTACCGTGGAGGCTGAAAAACCCCTCTCGCCGGCCTCACACCAAGATGGAATGTCCTCGTTTTGATGGAGGAGATCTTTGCGGTTGGATCTTGAAGATTGAAAAATACTTTTGATATTACCAGACACCCGATGATATGTCTTTCTTGTATACGACCCTATCGCCACCCATATTTCCAAAAGTCTAAAATTGAAAAGCAGGTTTCTGACTTGCTTAATTCAGGCTTCATCAGGCCAAGTACCAATCCGTTTTCCAGCCTGCTCTTCTTGTCAAAAAGAAAGATAACACCCGGCATATGCATCGATTATAGGCGGCTCATCCAAATCACTATTCCATATCAGATAAATAACCCATACCAAATGTGGATGAGCTCCTTGATGAGTAACATGGTGCCTCAAATTTTTCCAAAATTGATCTTCGCTCTGGTTACCATCAAATCCGCATCCACCCTGTTGACATCCATAAAACAGCTTTTTGAACCCATTCTGGATATAATGAATTTACTATCATGCCCTTTTGCCTTACTAATGCTCTCTCTACTTTCCAATCTTCCATGAATGACTTATTCCGACCCCATTTGCGCAAATTTGTTCTCGTCCTTTTTGACAATACTCTAGTATGTAGCCGGACTCTTGACCAACACTCATTTGAAGATTATCGTACAGTTGCTTCAGGTGAATCACTATTATGCCAAAGCATCGGAATGTCTACTTGGACATATAGTGTCAGCTGAAGGAGTTAGTGTTGATAAGGAAAAGATCCAATCAGTTTTGAGTTGGCCAGCAGCACCAACTAATGTGAAGGAGTTACATGGTTCCTGGGTTTGACAGGTTACTATCGCCGATTTGTCAAAGGTTGCAGTTTGATTGCTAGGCCGCTTACTGAACTCACCAAGAAGAATGCTTTCAAATGGTACCTGACAGCGGAGAAAGCATTTCTTCGACTCAAGCAAGCCTTGACTACCGTCCCTATTCTCCTATTGCCTGATTTTACCCAGCCATTTATAGTGGAATGCAATGCCTCCTCTGAGGGTGTTGGAGCTATTCTTCTACAATATGATCATCCCATCGCATATTTCAGTAAAGGTCTTTCTTTTCCAGCCGGTTTAAGTCCAGCTATGGTCGTGAATTGCTTGCCCTTAGCATTGAAGAAGTGGAAACACTACCGTTTGGGACACCATTTCTTTGTCCAAACAGAGCATCACAGCCTAAAATATCTCCTCAATCAGCGTGTAACCACCAATGAGCAACAACGGTTAATTATGAAGCTTTTGCCATTTGATTTCACCCTGGAATAGAAAATATAGGTGTAGACTAGCTTTTCAGAAGACCTCATTATGCTATTCCAGTTCCATAGGATTTTTCTTATTGGGTTGAAGCCCTTTGCGAGGATCCATACACTCGTGAGGTCTTGACAGTTGTTGATCTATCCCCAATCACTCAGCCCGATTTCCATGTGGTGGACAACAAGCTCTATACAAAGAGAGGTTAGTGTTTCCACACAATAGCTCTCTTCACCAGAAACTTCTTTCTGAGGCACATGATACACCTGCAGCAGGTCATTGGGGATCTGAAGACTCTTAAGAGGCTTTCTTCCAGTTATGAACCTTGGGCCGACTCAACACCAAAAGTTAGCTCATGAGGTGAGGATTTCCCAAGACCATATATGGAGACCAAGAAACCCAACCCCCCTCCCCTGATGTGGGACTCAATATCCCCCTCGTGCCCAAGCCTGCAAACTGGAGCGTGGACAACATAAATGGGGGCCCAACATCGGTAAAAATAAATTGGGCTCGGCCTGGCTCTAATACCATGATAATGAACCTTGGGTCTAACTCAACTCCAAAAACTAGCTCATGAGGTGAGGATTGCCCAAGACCATATAAGGAGACCAAGAAACCCAAATCCTTTTGAGTATTTATAGCACTTTCTTGTCACAAACGACTCCAAATGCTAACCTCCATTTCATCCAGCCCACCCCTATACGGTGTGTGATATCCTCGTCGATCTTCCTGTCCTCCTGGATAACCGATCCAAGATACTTGAAACTGCTTCTCTTGGGGATGACCTGTGATCCAAGCCTCACGTCCATGCTCGCTTCCCTTGACTCGATGCTAAACTTGCACGCCAAGTATTCTATCTTAGTCCTGCTCAACTTGAAATCCTTAGACTCAAGGTCCATTCTCTAAACCTCCAGCCTCTCGTTAACACCGCCTCGCATCTCATCAATCAGAACTATGTCATCAGCGAATAACATACACCATGACACCTCCCCTTGAATATGTGTGTCAGTGCGTCCATCACTAGGGAAAATAAGAACCAGCTGAGCGCAGATCTTTGATGTAACCACATAACAACCGGAAAATGCTATGAATCGCCTCCCATTGTCCTAACCCCAGTCTTAACTCTGTCATACATGTCCTTGATCGCTCTAATGTAAACTATTGGCACACCTCTCCATATGGACAACCTTTGAGTGTTTAAGATTCTTGCGCTCAAGTTTGTAAAAATAATCCTTTTCCATTCACTTCTCTGTAGCCTCTAACAATGCTTTCCTTTCACCCTCTTTTCTCTTGATACAAAAATGTAATAGTTTAAGGTTTCATCTCAAGGTCCTGAATTTTGGTATATGAATTACTATGTCACAGATTATATTTAGTTCATTGTATTAAACCAGTTAAGGAAATGTGCAAGGCAATATGATAAGCATTTAGACATCCAACCTGAGTATTGGTTTTGACCAAACTAATCCAGCACTCATTGGTCTGTAGCATATATTAAAATTCCACCAGCAGGCTTGCTTGTCTAACCTTACAACATTATAATTTTCAAGCTCCTTTCAATTTAATAGAAGATTCAGGCAGATTTATAAGAACACTTGAAAATCGGTTTAACATATCAATGAAAAAGCAACATTAATGCAGAATGATGAACACCATTGTCAAAGTCTCAACAAATCAAGCTGTAGAAAATTGCTTTTTTCCATACTGGAAGGATGTGAGTGTTGAGTCTTGCTAGGGAATAAATTTAGTTCATTTTCCGCTCATACCGAATCTAGTATGCGGAAAGACAACTTCTTGTGCGGAAAAACAACCTACAAAGAGTAACAAAGATAATTAACTGAAGTACATACCAAATCAAAATGTGGATGAAAAAAAGATACAATCATAAACTTCAAGTAATTCAAAAGTTGATCAAGTATATTCCATGATTAAGGATTTACTGGTAGATCTGGAATGGGGATTTTCTCGTAGATCTTCAGCTGCAATGAAGGGAACTCATCTTTATCAGCATCACCTCCCTCACAAGTTTCCTTGATGTATAGTAAAATCAACTCTTGGTAAGCTGGCTCCTATCAGAATAAACATTCATATCATATGAGGATGCAGATCCTAAGAGTAAAGTTTTCTAGCAAAAGATGAGCACATATGTGTTTAAATGTTTGCTGTAATGAAGTTTACTTGACTAAGAACAATTTTTGAAGGCTTATTCTTTAGGTTCAGCATAAATATTCTTAAGGTGCATTCCATTGCTATTGCTAGAGATCAGGGTATTCGGTACGCAAAGTAATATATGAGATGCAACATTTGCAATGAATTATTTAAAGCACTGCGGTCAGGTATAATAGCTGCTAACCACGAAAAAATATCCAATTTTTATGAAGAATATATAGGAGTAACTCGAGGCCACTAATGTACAGTTTTAAGAAAGCAAAAATGGAAGAGAAAAAGAATGAATTGCAGTTGGCTTGGTGGTATAAAAGAATTTTGCTAATAAAAAATATAAGATAAAAGGAAAGGCAATCTCCAAAAAAAAAAAAAGAACACTAGTGCAAATGGAATAAATTGTACTCCCTCGGTTTTAATTTATGTTAACCTAGTTGACTGGGCACGAAGCTTAAGAAAAAAGAGAAGACTTTTTAACTTGTGGTGTAAAATGAGGCACATATATTTTGTGTGACTATAAATCATTGCATTAAGGTAAATTGTTTTCAAATATAGAAATAGGTCATTTTTTTTGGCATGGACTAAAAAGGAAATGGGTTCACATAAATTGAAGTGGAGGCAGTAATATTTTTTAAGTAGTATATGAATTGAAGAGCCCATGATATTCATTGTGCTTCAAGCAATTATGAAGACAAAGAGTGGATATTAAGGCAGTAATGTCCTATGCTATGCGAACTGAACATGAATGGAACTGAAGTTACCTGGAGAGTTGATTTTGAGAGAAGAATGGAAATAGAAGTTCTCAACATTCTCCAAAGATCATTTGCACATGATTTCAGTGACGCGGGTTCCCATATATCGCTAAGTGATATCCTCGACAAAAAGATTGGCCTATACAGAAGATTCTCTTTGATGAAACGGTCATTTAAGAACTCAATGAAATTTAGATCTCATTCTTAAACCAAAGAAACTAACAACAGCAGCAGCAGCAACAACAAAAAACTTTCATAGATTTAGGTACAATATGAGTTTTTCTTACACATAAGGAGTGTTTCAAGTTCTGTTAGAACACATAAACTCAGTCACATAGCCATATAGAATTTAGTATTCAAGTGGACAAACCTTAAATGAGATTCAGTTTCATTATCATCTATTTCAAGTTCAAATTGCTGTTTATGTGTTGACGGTAGAACTCCAATCAGCATCAGCAGCTTTTTTAGAAGCCTACCACGAGGCCCAACTGCTGAAAGATTTTCTTCATAACGAATTACAGCATTCTGTGCAGCTTTCTGAAGGGGAAGGTCATCTTCTGATAGTGCATCAACTTCAAATGGCTTATTTGATATGTGTTGGTTGTCACTAGATGTTTGCTGGAAAATGGGAAAATCCTTCAACCAAAGCTTGACTTTTTGGGCCCAAATTTGAGCATTATCTTCAGTGATAGATCTTTCCAAAACCTGGATCAAGAATAAATAGCAATCTTAGAATGATTGTAACGACCTTCAAAATTAAAAGGAAATCTTTACTTCTACCAACCACTAAATATGTTAGGAAAAAGAACTATATCCCATCAAGTAGAAGCATCATAATAAAGCAAATCAATATGGTTTTCAAGTAATATGCAATCAAGAACCAACCAAGACCAGAATGATTGAGCTTGAGAATCAGTTGGCAGCAGCCTTCACATGTTTTCCTTAAAAAAGAGCAACCTTAAAATCATTTTCTACCATCTATCGTCCAAAAATGGCCAATAGACTACCTATTTCCGCCACTGCTTGCTGCTTCCCTTAGCACATGACTTTCGGATTTCTCGTAATCTTGTCATGTCTGTCTCAGTTAAAACAATCTGTTGATCTAGGAGAGCCTCTGAGTGAAATATTTGAAATGACGATCATTTGCCACAAATATATAGTAGCTTTTTAATAACTCTTTTGTTTAGCTTCCTTTTGCATATTTGAAGCAGCTCATTTAAAGGGAATGCACTTAATTGGCGAATGTTTCCAATTCTTTTGCAGATCCATGGAAATTTGTAACTGTGATTGCTATAAAATCCAAGAAATCAGGTTCATGGGTACCACATACCCCTCTAAACACATATTGGGGGACCCTTGCAAAGCATCTTTTCAGGGTACCTCTAGAAAAAGGAAAATCTGATGTACCAGTAGTCACATACCTCAGTCAACCAAATACTAACTTTCTTCAGAGGTTTGACTATCAGAAAGAAAACTCTTTGTAGAAACTTTGACTGCAAGTAATCTAGTTTTTCAACAATTAGCAAGCCCTTCTGCCTCTCAGTTGCATAACCACGTCTGCATGCAAAAGTTAATGACTTTAATACAAGTATATTAATTTACTTGTCAAAAAGAAAATCGAGTGGGAAAGAAAGATAAGTCAATAAAGAGATGTAAGGGAAAGTGTAAGAGATAGGAACTCAACAGAAAATAAATGAGGAATAACATGAGTAGGATTAAAGTTGTTAAAAGTCAAGTAAATCATTAAGAATATTGTGCTGAACATAATGATTATATCATAATAAATACTATCTCAAGAATTAGGAATTTTTCCATACTTCACGTAGCTCAAACCCCACAAATAAGGAGTCCTCTTTGTTGTTAAAAATCAATTTCAATATTGTATCTCTCTTCTTTTCTATTTGCACATTATAGCAGAACTTTTACCGTTTTACGATCTCAGTAATATGAAAATATCTGTCAACCCAAAACCTTAAGGCAATGAGTGGAGGGTCCAAGACCTTTGTAAACACCTTTAGATATCCTAATTATCCCGTTTGGAACTTTAATAACTAAACACCCTCCGGCATAATCCAATTTTGGGATTCACATGTGAACTTTGAATGCAGACTTACGACTCTAAATATGGACTTGCTAAAACTATAAGGTAATAGTGGATGCCGAGCTTTATAGACTCATTTAATTGCCTTGTACATCTGATGTAGACTTTAACTCAACAAGTAGCTTCTCCAGCTGGCTACTGGCCTTATCACTTATGCCACTGACCGAAATTTTACTTATTGTCTATGTTTTACTAACAACGCTTCTTGCAGGTGACTGATTCAACAGCAACATACCTCTTCTTGTTCTGGTGATTCTTCTAGCAACTGTTTCTTGAAAATTCTTCTCCTTTTTTCCCCATGGTAGTAGAGTTTGAATGTTGAACCCCTCATCTGAACATCGATTTCTGGTTGGTGTTCTAGAATAAATCTCGAAGGGGAGCCTTGGCGTAATTGTAAAGTTGTTGCCATGTGACCAGGAGGTCACGGTTCGAGCCGTGGAAACAGCCTCTTGCAGAAATGCAGGGTAAGGCTGCATACGATAGACCATTGTGGTCCGGCCCTTCCCTGGACCCCGCACATAGCGGGAGCTTACTGCACCGGGCTGCCCCTTTTTTGTTCCATAATAAATCTCATTCTCTTTTTTTCCTACAAGATATTAGAGTTTTGATATTGAGTTATTAGAGTTTGGTTTTGAGTTCCTCTCTGAATGTTGAATTTTCTATCATTGTTCACGAGAAGTCCTTTTCTCGTTCTTTTTTTTTTATGATATCAAAGTTTGGGTATTGAGCCCCTCCTCAAAATATTAAACTTTTACCAGCAGTCTTCCCACAATTTTTTCACCATGGTAACAGAATCTCCGTACGAGTCCCTCCTCTTTCAGGTTAATCTTGTTGGGATATATACTATTAACCATGAGTTTAGTTTGGATATAGTATTTATTATAGAGAAATTGTTTATTCAATTTTAATAAAGTTTTACGTCTGTGTCCTTTACTTATATAATAGATGATTTAATGTATAGAGTTTAGCTTATACACGAAAGATTAAATCATAGATTTTTACAAGTATAAAGATTATGTTCACAATCTAAGATGGAATTGGACAAACCACCGGAATGATCGTAGCACAAGATTAAATACAATTTAACTTAATTATGGGAATGGTATAATTCCAACTTCTTGTGCTAGTACATTTTGTATGTATTGAACGGACCAAGTAGAGATAAGTATTTTATTCCGACTTCAATAAGAGTTTCCTCTTTTCTCTTCTAATTGAGAAAAGTTATTTACACTAACCTGAATAATATGGCACTGGACTGAGATGCCCTCTTCCAGTCAACAGATATAGGCAAAGTAAGAAGATAATCAGTATTTAGAGCAGATGTCAGCCTCAGATCTCTAGCAGACAATTCTTCAAAACCCGCATTGGAAAGCAGCTGAAGGAAAGCATGTTGAAAACGACTGGAAACAGCAGTTCTACAGGAAATTTCAGATGTTAAGTCACATGCAAAATCAATGTCCACCAAAAGTTATCATGAGAACCCCCGTGTAAAAACCAAAAGCATATGATACTAGACACTCCAGGAGTTCTAATAGATATTTGTTGTATAGTTGTGGTCATTTTTGCAGCTCTCAAAGATCTCTTGCTTGAGCTCAACAAAAATGTTATTTAAGTTCGCATAGTTATCATTTTCCCCAGACCCCACTTTGTGGGATTTTACTGGGTAGTTGTTGTTTGTAGTTATCATTTTCCAAAAGCACTCGAATAAAATAGTAAGTGATATGTCCTTATCTTTTGTCAGGTTGCCTCAATTTGAAGCAGTCTAAACCCATGTCAAGTTTCCTCAGCTTCTTTCATTTTTCTATAATTCCATAATAAGACCCAGCTTTTAGACAAACAAAATTAGGAGAATTCCTACAACCAACCTTGTGAACAGAAACTAGGATATCTCCTTTCCTGACTTATCAACCCTCATCAAATTAAGACTCTCTTATGGTTATAATCAAACTTCGATTTAGAAGGCATCTCCGACTCTCTAGCCTTCAATACTATAAATTTGTTCTTTTTTCTTTTCTCAACAGTGTATCTTCATGCTGAAGCAGTACTATATGCGGATTAAAGATTGGCAAAGCATTTTGTGACCCTCAGGAAGAATTTCGATTGGGCATCTTCAAAATAGCAATTTCTGTCCAATAGACATTTCTATACATTATTTTCCTTAATGTTAGATGTTTTACCTGGGTTGTCAGTTCCAGTAGCAGATTTTAGAGCCTTTTGCATTCATTTTCTTTTTATCGATCTTATATAGTGACGCAGCTTAAATTAATTATTAAACTTTATGATATTACACGCTACTATAGAAGATAGCAACATACCTAGACTCCTCAAGAGAGTCTTTGTTGACAAATTTGAGAAAAGAAACATAAGGAGATCCTGAGAATTGATCAGAACCTGAACGCCATAGATTCTTCAGTTCCATATCCCAGTCATATTTATCCATGTCTTTGACCTTCTCAACATCACTCATCATAATGTCGGAACCACTTCCATTTGGCGTGAAATTTCTTTCTTGCCCAGATAAAACTGCAGTTTTATTACAACTATCATTGGCATGCGATCGATCATAATCAACTCGCATTTCCTCTAAGATGACTTTGTGTTCAGCATGGAGAATCAGGTCCAGGCATCTGCAATTACAGAAATTCTTTTAACACAAACCTGAAAGTGAAAAAAAGTGTATTCAACAATTAAAGCTCTAACCTTCAATTTACACAACTATAGATGGGGTTAAGTGACTAGAATTCTAGTGTAACATGCTAGAATTTAGGATTTGACGAAGTAGAATTCATTCAGATGTCTGAAATATTACGTTCCAAAATTCTTACTCGTGCTGTAAGGTCATATAAATTAAGCGGATGCAGGCCCCCCGAGTTATATATTTTCTAATTACAGCTCTAATGAATCTTCTCTTTAGCTCCACTTGAAAGATAAAACATAAGTTTGGAGAAAGCAAGTGGACAATTGAAAGACTTTCCGAGTTTAATTTGGTTTCTCACAACATTTTTGGGGGTTTTTACTGTGATGAAGTTTCAAGTCAGCATAGCAAAAATCATACTCCTCCGTCTTATTTTATGTGGCGGTGACTTGTCACGGAGTTAAAGAAAAATTATGAAACTTGTGGTCTAGAGCAAGCCATAGATATTACTTGTGGTTTAGAACAAGCCATAGACATTTGTGTAGCTATAATCATCTCATTAAGGGTAAAAAATGAAATTTAAAGTTAAATTGATTATAATATAGAAAGGTGTCATTCTTTTTTAGATAGACTAAAAAGGAAAATGTGCCACATAAAATGAGACAGAGGAGTAGCTTGTATGAGTTGACGTGTGACCAAGAGAAAGGCGTTCATCATATTATTTCCAGTAAGTGAAAGATCTCACATCTCTAAAGTAAATATTTACTAAACCACTATTCTTACGTTGTATGTTGCAGCATTTGAGAGCTGAAATACAACAGTTCTACTTACATAGTTTTGCCATCAATTAAATGTCACCTTTTTGGTTGTAACATGATTTCATCATCAATAAGAACAATGAGACATAGCATTTATGTTTATAAAAAGCAGTCTATATCAATTGGAAAAACCAGGGCCAAAGCCATGATATAGCAGACAGGTTGTCCTCCTCTAATCACCTAGCCTTAGCTTATTATTCTCTTCCACAGTAAGATATTAGTCCTATCCAGCAGTCTACCTATTTCTAGAGCAGAACTCGGAGAGGAATTAGCTCTTTCATTTCCTTGACAGAAGACTTCTTCAAATCATTCACATATTCATTACATTTATGCCAGACCTTACCGGAAAGGTGGGAAAATAAGGTTGTTAGCAAACTATATTATTAACTAAATAGTCCCTTTAGAAAATTGAGACAGTATAAATATGTGGACCAAACCTTTAGGGGGCCCAAAAACAATTGTTAGTTTGAAGAAAATGATTCTAATTAAGGATTTATGCAAGGATTTATACATGTGTTAGGGGGGCCATCCTAACACATGTACCTACTACAACAACAACAAAAAAAAACTCAGTGTAATTCCACATGTGATACCTAGTAAGAGGAAGCAATAACTGATGGGGAAAGGAGTCCCTATGTTTCCTCGCATGCTAAAATTGACAAGAAATTAGATACTCCAATAGTGTAATCAAATTCTGAACCTATATAGTCATATACATCTTATGAAGGCCAAATTAATTGGAGTCCTTCCATTTCAACCTTGGACTGCACTAACTGCAGACCTGTAAATGGACACAACCCACAAAATCCACAAAGGAATTCTTTTTCTTTCTTTCTTTCTTTTATGGTGGGTGTGGAGGTGGGGGGATTTGTTTGCTAGCTCGACAACCGTTATCCAATGAGGTATTTTGCAAGCTAATTGCGAATATATATGTAATTAGTCTTAGTCCCATACGTAATAAGAGTATGTTATATATTATGTGCATTTATAAATAAGGTTCATGGTATTACAATTAACATAAATAATAGATTTTTCTCCCGTGCATTTTCACATGGTATCAGAACATTTAAGTGATTTGGCTAAACGACTAAAGATTATGAAATTAAAAAAACTACCAGGAACATACAGATCTGAATCTAAAGGTGAGGAAGGAACTGGACTTGCTTGACCTATTCCAGTTGCCATGGTTTGATACTCGTTGGCTATTGTGTCTGTTGGAATAGATTGAGAATGTGAAATAGTAGTGAAAAGAGATTTGTTACCAGAAATGTGATCAGATACACCTGAATCAATAACCCAAGAATCGGAGGATGAAGATTGGGAGACACAAGTCACGCTATTATATGTTTGAACAACGAAAGTTGTCTCTGAAGATGTCTTTTTACATGCTTTGTATTGAAGGAACTCAATATAATTCGGTAGAGAAACCATCCAACAATTCATAGTATTCGATCCCATTTCGCTACAATTAATTTCTCAAATTCTTGACTAAAAGTTGTTGGGTTAACTTGAAATAGTAGAAATCAGCAACTCTGCGGGAAAACTGAAGAAATATTGGGAAAACATTGTTCACAGCAGAGAAAGAGAACACTATTTTATGCCGGAAAGCATTGTTCACGCCGAAAAAACGCAATAGCTCGCCGAAAAATTCCAAAGTTGTCGGAATCTGTCAGAAATAGTACTGGTGGACTCGGAATTGCTATGCGAGTAAGTTGTCCTGAAGGAAGTTTGCCGGAATCTGGCTGGAAGGGGTTTCACGCGCCCGGCGCGTGCACAGATCTCGCCAAAAAATTGTAAGGTGACTGAGTTCTTTCTTCCTAGATGTCGTTGGAATGACGCACAACGATCTTTTCTCACTGATGCTCTAATACCATGTGAAAATGTATGGGAGAAAAATCTAATATTTATGCTAATTGTAATATAAAGAACCCTATTTGTAAGTACACATAATATATAACCTACTCCTATTATATATGTGACTAGGACTAGATATATAATCACATAGCTATTCTAACCTATGTTACGCGGACTCTCCAAAATGATGCCGCACCCGTGTCGGATCCTCCAAAAATACACTATTTTTGGAGGATCGGACACGCACCCGGCAACATTTTCGGAGAGTCCGAGCAACATAAATTCCAACAGCTACCTTTAGTGCGCAACATAGCACATGCCTGCCATGGGCTTGGCTAACAGTTTCATGACTAGCTCTATGCATGGGTCTAAGAATACAAGTCGTGACCTCCACATGTCAGGCCCATGGCTTGCCCACGATATAGCCTTTGACCGAGTCCAAAAGGAGAAGGTTGTCATTCCAACTTACTCATCAACCACCCCTAGGATAGTTGGTCCATGATCTCGCTCAACCAAATCATGTGTATGGAACTTGGACTCTACCCAATAACACGTGTCTTAGAATGATCCACGACTATCCTACGTACATTGGCCTAGTCATCATGAATTTTGCATGCATGAGGTTCCAAACATCCTTTGTAAAGAATCCACAAGCCCTCACGGACGTCCGGCCTATCTCTGAAACCATATTCGTCATGAATTGCTTTCTCCACTGGCCATATAGACCATACTCCACAAATCATCTGTGCCAACTTATTTTTCTTAAGACTAAGTCAAGGAATAATAACTACTTGAGGAGCCATTCCCCCATTCTTGGGATAGGGCTCCATAACCAAACCTTGGAAAAAAAAAAAAAGCCACTTCCCCACTTCTCTGGGATAAGAGTCCACTTTTACCTCCACTACCACCTACAAAAGTAGTAGGTAGTTGGATTCTTCACTATAAATAGGACTGCTTAACTCTCTGAATAGCATCAAGCAGAGGACGTCTCCTCTCACATACCTACAAAATACTACTTACTACAGTTCGTCTACATAGATTCATAGACTAGAGAATAGAAAGGAAAGGCAGCCTCCCCCCAAAACCCAAACTGTCCATCAAAATTCGGACACAAAATCTCAAGTCTTCCACTAGATTATTCTTTCCATATTATACAGAAGATATCTAAAAAAATATGGTATCAATAAGATCTTTACCCCTCTCTCCTTCTTTAAACTATATTTCTGTGTCTTTATATTTCTTGCATTCATTTTACGGTTTTCTTTGCTTTCATGCTGTCACTTCCCCTTCCCCAATCGATAATAGAATTTGGCTCTACAACATCTGTGTGACTGGCTAACAGTTGAGCTGTTGAATGGATTACACTATAGTGAAATGCTTATTCAAAAATCATAAGCTAAACTAACAAGTCGACAAAGTACTGAACTAGGATATTCCCAATAGCAACCCTCCCCCACCCCCCTTTCCTCCCTTCCCTTCCCACAAATGTGAATAGCCAACAAAGAAACCTTGAACTGTAGGAGCAGTATCCTTAAGAAAATGCTCCATCTGCATATCACCAACAAACATGAAATGATGAAAACTTAGCATCATTATATACTCCACATTTGCAAATAGAACACTTTCCTCAAAGTTCCAGACGTTCAACAAACCAAAATATCAGCAACTAGTTTTAATAGTAATTAAGTCAAATCAATTTGTTATTATACATGCAAATGGAAAAAGGGAGTTGAAGGAAGCAAAAAGTTGAGAAATTTACAATGATACATGACGAAATTGATCGGCTTCCTCCGGTGAATTAAACATGGTAGAAGTGATGGCACCTAACAGTTGCGATTTGGAAGCGGCAATATATCTTTGTCTGGGCACTTTAATACCAGAAATTCCTTCACTCTCAGGTGTATCATCTGAACTGCTACTGCTACTAGGTTTTGTTTCAATAGGACGGAGATCGTCAGTCGGGGGCTTGAATTGGGACTGTAATTCCGATAAGCCAACTGATGGTGATTTATTAGAGCAGTTACTAACATGACTTGTCGCCGGGACGAACCGAGAAAGAAACTGCGTAGACGGGAAATTCGACGTCGACGGCGACGATAGAGGAGTAATATTGTGAAAGATTTGCAGAGACATAAGAAATATACTTCTAGGTGACAAGTATTTGCATGGACCGGATTGTTGGCTATTTTGTGCCTTTTGACTGTTAACTACTTGAGCTAATACGACGTAGTCTGAGTTCAACAATCTTGGCCTTACATTTTCTCTGTTTTAGATAATTGCGATTGCTCGTCTTTTTTCTTTTTGTTTTTGTTTCTCTTTTTCCTTTTGGTGAGTTTCATTAACAATCAAGAGAGATCTTGGGATAGTACAGGTATTCTGATAATCGGCAAAAATACATGTTTTTGAGTATCGTCGTGCTTCATAACTCGTGTGATTTGACGTGGATTGCATGATATTTGGAGTATTTTATGCTCATTACATGTTTATTATGTTGGAACGTATTTGAATGAAAAAATATTGAAAAGATGATGATTTGGCCCAGAACGGAATGTGAAAATAGAAGAAAAACTAAAGAACGTTCGTCTACCAAGCGTTGCGCCCGCGAGGGAGGCAAACGAGCCAGAGGAATCAGGCTTCCCGCAAAACAATACTTCAACACATTGCATGAGGTATCGCGAGTTAGAAAGAAGAGAGTTGGGGGCTCGTGTGCCAGCATCGCCGAAGCGCGGGAGACAGATGCTCCCTCTAGTTATCCTAGCCGAATTGGTATTGGATTAAAGCGTCTCCTACACCTATAAATATACCATAAATGTGATTTTTACAAAACTTTTGACCTAGGGAAGACACTATGTCGTGAGGCAAGAACACAAAGGGAGCGAAAACGAACAAGCTTCCGCTACGAGTTTCTTTCTTCTTCCTTTTCTCTTGTTGGTTATGAATTCTAATAATGTACTTTTACATATTATTATGAGTAGCTAATTTCTACTTTAGCTTCTCCATCATCATCGATCATCGCGGTATCTATGGCCGGCACGGGTGGAGGGCTCGTCACCATAACTTTCATAGACGACTCGGGGGTGTCATTCTTCGCCCTTTTATTCTTTTCCCCGGCCACAGAGTAGTGCTTTATTTTTGGTTTCTTGTTCTCTGACCGGGGACTCCGAGAAGAAATACTTGCACCTGAAGCAGGCCTGGAGACACCTGTTCGAGTAAGCGCTTCCTAAAGCAGTCTCGCCGCATCAGTAGGATCAGCCAAAGCGTCCTCCTCGGGGAAGACAATCGAGCCTGCGAGTAGACCTGAATTCGACAAAGAGAGAAGGGGTTTATCAATTTCCTCACACAAAAAACAAAAACGAGATGAGTCTAAGTTACCATGATTTTTGGTCTTCCACTCATATTTAAGGGCCAGTTCTTTCCACGTGCGGGTTCCGGGCGTAGTAATGTTCAGGATTTTCTGGACCTGCTGGTCCAAGCCTTTATCCCTAGGTGGAATCCATTGAGTTGCTAAAATAAGTGAAAGAAGGAGGGTCGATAAGGATAAGAGAAAACTTCTAATGAAAGAAATATTAAACAAGGAGTTATGAGTGTGATTCTATGATTCCGGAAAGATGAAGCCGTTGTCAGAATAATATCACTGGTGGCGACTGCAACAAATCGTTCCATCCACCCACGGTCGTTGTCATCATCCATGCTAGATAGCAGGGCATGGTGGCCGTATTTGCTGAAGTTTATCATTCCCCCACGGAAGATTTTGGGGGAATAGAAGTTCATCACGTGAGCTAGGGATAGCTCATCTCCCGTTTCTTGGCACATGCACCGAAGACAAGCAATCGTCCTCCACACGAAAGGACTTACTTGATCCAAACACACCTGAAAGCGGAGAAAAAACTATGTAATAATTGAATCAAGCTTACCACTTAGAGAAAACGCTCCCAAAGTAAAGGTATACGTGTAAAAGTATGTAAAACCCTCCTTGGGTGGGGTTACCCACTCCTCCAGATCAGGAGTGATAATGTCTAACTAACAACGACAATCTTCCTTCACAGTAGGAATACTGGAAGGACGGATGAAAGAAGGGTATCTACTAACGACCCATGTACGAGAGTTAGCAGAAGGAAATTTCTCTTCGAAATCTTTGGTGGTAATCAGGCTCTTTGGGACAATGGTACTCACCGTAGTGGGAGCGGCATCGTCAGCTTTGCCTCTGTTCTTTGAAGAACTAGATTTTCTTAAAGAGGAGGCCATTTCTTATCAGTGAAAGAGTTTTTTCTCTCAAATAAAGAAGTTGAGGAAAGGTTGAAGTCGGAAGGTGAGTTGAGTAAAGAAAGTCTTAGAAAATTCAAAATGTTATGAAGTGTAAAATTAAGGAAGTAGATGCGTATAAGTAAAGGTTAGGCGGCTAAATTCGTGGCCATAATTACCTCGATAGCTGGCAAAAGTTATGCTGAATCGTGGAATGACGCGTGTTCGGGGCATTACATACGGAGAGACGTGCATCTAATCAACCGTCAGAAGTCTCTCCGAGGGGGTCAATGAAATTCCCGCCAAAGGAACGTTTCTACCAACTTCCTGTGACACAAAGTTATGTCACCGGAAAGAATGAAAACAAAAGGTAACCAAGTCAGTAAGACGGAGTAAAGAGTGTTTGCACTATTTAGACATGTATCACGTAAGGTTATGCAATAATTCGCGTCCTAATTTGGGGACCTCATTGTGGCTGAGGTAGGCCTAAGCGACACATGGACTTGGAGAATATCCATGCCAATGTTTGCCCCATTCCATTAATGCAAAAATACGCCAAATAAATCTTTTACTAAATCGACAATAATTATAAAGTCACTAATGGCATTAAGCCTTATTATATCGAAATCTAACCTAATCTCAAAAGCAGTAAAGAACATTATCTCCTAATCTACTTGCTCCCTGAAGGACCTTCTCCATGCTTGGCTCTCTTGACCCCATCAATCACATTCCCTAGTCGCGCATATCCAGTAGTAAGTAAACCTTTGCCAGCTTCCGTCCCTCATCATCGTCCATGCCTTGACAATCCCAAAGCCTCTTTCTCATATTCCCTTACAGCTCCATCAATCCTTGCTCTAGATATTGTAATATTTCTGTCGACTTATTGGCAATCTCCTTCCATTCCTTTATCGCCTCTATGTTCACTTTATGTTGTTCCAGATGCTTAGCTTCGAACTCGAACACCCTTTTGTGTAGTCTTTTATACTTTGCATGTGCTTCAGCCACCTCATCTATTATCCTATCTTTCAGATTGACTCCCGGTTTGACGTTCCCAGCTATGTTGTCCTCCAACCATGAGAGATAGTAGTACATATGACCGACGTGATACCTGTATGGTTCAATAGTCTATCCTTCCACGATGATATTTTGGTTCCACATGTGTTGCGCTTCAAACTTGAACTAGATGAGATCCCTTTTGAAATCTGCCTTATATTAAACCTGTTGGAAACCCGAGGTATGACATGTTTCCTTCCAACTTGCCTCGTTACCCTTATAGGAGTGTAAGGGTAGATGCCTCGCAGCCCGATCAGTACTAAGTGAGTAGTTCCTTTGGGTCTGATAATGAACTCACTACTAGGAAACCATTCAAACATCTAATGGACTTGCTCATCTGTCAGATTGCTGAAGAAACGTACACAGCCTACAACATTTCCAGGCTTTGCAAACCTATTTAGAATGAATGTCATTTTCTTTGGATGATGATTGGCTATGCAGTCATTTAGTGGCCTTCGTAAAAGCTCTTAGCGATAATCACCCCTCTGAAAGTGTTCTAGCAGCCAAACTTATAGCAAGAGATTACAACCCTCAAAGTGTCTGGACCCATGCTTGCACCGATCTAGAGCACGGTACATCTCATCTAAGATCATCGGGATGATAGTGTACTTTTTTCCCTAGATACCCTCCATTAAGGTCCTGGCGACCATGGCTAAGTGAGTATGATTTCTCCCTTCTTGCATCGGAAAGATCAACAAACCCAAACATAAACCTGGTGGTGCACCCATCCTAAAGAGGTAATGGATAGCCCCTCATGATAAATGCGACATGATTTGCTATGCCCATAATGCTCATAGAGAAATTCAAAGGGGGTGTATGATTTCCTCAGACATACCTGCTCATCATTCTTCTTAAAACCTAACATCTTCAGAAAACCACGTGGAGTGCGATTCTCTGGCACCAATAGCCCTGGACTATCCCATGGTAACTCGGAGAAACCTCCTATTTTTTCGGGAGAGGAGTCATTTCTATATTGGCAAATTGAAATACAACTCTCTTCTCGTCCCAGAACATGGTAGCAACCTCGATCAATTACCTATTTGGTCGATTGTTCATCAGAGATTGCAGGTCACCAAGCATTCTCCTCACGTGGTTTCTTTCATAGGGTGCAAGGTCTTTCCACCAATCAATTAGAAAAGGAAGGATATTCCAGACCATACCAAACCTGGGGATTTCGTGCTTCATTTTCTGCAAACAAATAAAGGTTAGACCTTTCCCCCTCTAGATTCAACTATTTACGCAATAATGATCAATATGTTTACAAGTTTTCTCCAAGTAATGCATATAATATAACTGTATCCTTTGAAATTATAGAAATCCCTTTAAACTTTAGACAAGGTTCATCTAAGTGTGTTGATACATCAATGACGTCTCAATCCGTACTAGGTTTAGCATGATGCATGTATATTTTAAATCGGAGTGTGGTTTCTAAAAAGGTCTAGGCTAGTACTCTCGAGTGTACAACTTGAGAGGAAAAGGCGTGGGACCATCGACTGTATTGCTGATCGACTAGTCAACCACAAATAAGCCTTTTTTGGTTTAAAAGGGTGATTTCAGGAAAGCGCAGACACTCATCAAGCACCGCTATGTTGATAATAAGCACGAGTGGAGTATGATGTGGAGCATGCTTTATGCAGACATAGTAGCACATGGCCAAGTATTTGTATGATAAAACTGCATAAAAATAGTAAATGATATGGTAAAGATAAACAGGAGGATGAAAAGAAGAGAAAAGAAAAAAAAGAAAAAAAGAGAAGTCAGTTTAACTCATGAAAATATGCGAGAATTTAATGAAGCAAATAAGGAAAGGGGGCTGGGAGATACATGATATAGTAGTCTTGGACAAGATGAAGGAAATGGAGAGAGGACATTCATGTCATAGCAAT